GGGGGGGGGGCCTCAACGAAGACCCCTGTGTGGTCCTTCGTTTTCCTCGGGTTTCGATACCCAGCGAAACGTCTGTGTGCGGTATTGACTGCAGTAGGGGTTTGAACGCGCTGGTCGGTAAGTCGGCTGCCTGCTTTTGGGTTTTGTTGATGCACCTCTGTTCTCTCAAAATTTTGTTACGCGCTGGGACGCTACCTCATAGATGGGAAGAAGCAGACCTGGGAAGCCAGTGGAAAGCGACGTCGGCGTGTTTGTTAGCACAAAGTGTAGATTATAATCACGGGACGTCATAGGTGTGCTTTATGAAGTGCCCAGGTTGGAAAGGTAGGCTTACCCACGTGGAGAGTGAGAGTTTTACCTTAATTTTGCTCTGGCAGCAAATAGTGTGCACTGAACTCGGTGTCGTAATGAGGAAGTGCAGGCAGGGTGATAGCTTTCCACACAAAGCTAGGAATTGGTGTGTAGTAAGAGATGGCAAGGCCAGAGAAGGGAGGTTTCTGTGAAATAGTTGTATCACAGTTACTGCAAGTAGAATACCTCAGTCGTGTGCCCTTGACTTCCTTGTGGTTTCTTTTGTGGAGAAAGATTGCCAAGCCCTCCCTCTTACTTTGGTCTGCTTCTAGTTTATGTACTCTCAACAGGGACAGCCAGTGCTCTAAGCATATAAAGATATTTCTCTTCATTTTCAAACAATACGTAGATTAAATTATCCCAAAGAAAGTAAATTAATATGCTTAATAACACTTTGTCCCCAGAAACTTATTTTTTTATGACAGTAGGTAATTTTGGCCATTTGGGCAGCAGTTTCAAATCATGTGCTCACTCAAACCATAGTCTTTGGTGTTTTGTTTAAACATCTTAAATAATGGATTGCTTTAATGATTTAACCACCTAGCTAGACAATCTTCACCATTGTAGTGTACTGACACAGAAGGCTAGTAGCTGTGTAACCTTTCAAAGCTTAACATGAAAATTGAGCAACGTGTGCTCCRTGAGAGATCAGCCGCCCTCAGATTTGCGGTGGTAGGTTTGTAAACGTGCCTGTGCTCCAGGAGGGCTGACAGGCCCTCAGCCTATCCAGGAGAAGCGTATTTATATTTCTTCTTTAGGTAGAGTGATAAATTTATACGCAGAATTCAGGTCATCTCTTTAACACTTATTGCGAAACAACTTTTCTCTTTTAAATATTGTATCTTTTTTTTTTTTTTATTGTAGACTTTTGTTTTCATTGAAATTTTCACTTTGATTCTAATTTAGAGCACTTGGCGCTTTTCTGTGCAGATCTTCCGGAAGGTTTTCTTTGGCTCATGTGTGGGTCAGGCCTCTCCACCTCATTCCACCCCATGCCGATCAAACAGTTTTGCTGGACTTCATGGTTGTTTGGCCCTTGCAACTGTCCCAGTTTTGCCTCTCGTGTTTCKGTTCTCTTGTCAAAAGCTGAACAGCAGTTATAGAGGGAGTTGCTCCAAGATCGTACTGGGAGGCTGAGCTACCTGGGAGAAGCATCTCTGTTTTTCAGAATAACCAAATGTTACTGTTTCTCCCTTTAATTGATGATAATGAAGCCTGATGTCAGCTGAATAGAGTATGTATTAGGATTGCTTACAGTTATGCAACTACCTCAAGTGTGTGCACAACCACATTTATCAAAGCTGCAGCAAAAACGAAGCGAAGTGCAGAGCCTTTTCAGGCTTTTCAGAGCTATTTGCTATAGAYAGAAGCTGATCAGCTTCTCAGCTTTCAGCTGATCACCTGCGGACTGATCTTAAAA